CCAAACCACTGCCCCTCCTCTGGACATGTCCAAACCACTGTCCCTCCAATGGACATGTCCAAACCACTGTCCCTCCAATGGACATGTCCAAACTACTGTCCCTCCTCTGGACACGTCCAAACCACTGTCCCTCCAATGGACACGTCCAAACCACTGTCCCTCCTCTGGACACGTCCAAACCACTGTCACTCCCATGGACACGTCCAAACCACTGTCCCTCCTCTGGAAACGTCCAAACCACTGTCCCTCCTCTGGACATGTCCAAAACACTGTCCCTCCTCTGGACACGTCCAGACCACTGTCCCTCTTCTGAACACGTCCAGACCACTGTCCCTCCACTGGACACGTCCCAACCACTGTCCCTCCTCTGGACACATCCAAACTACTGTCCCTCCTCTGGACACGTCCAAACTACTGTCCCTCCACTGGACACGTCCCAACCACTGTCCCTCCTCTGGACACATCCAAACTACTGTCCCTCCACTGGACACATCCAAACCACTATCCCTCCTCTGGACATGTCCAAACCATCTCAGTGTGTCCTTTCTAACTTTATCTCCCAGTTGTTCAACCTGTGCTGTACCTCTGATCATCTCATTCCTGATCTTCTCCATCCTTGTCTCTCCTAAGGAGAACCTCAACATCTTCATTTCTGACACTTCCAGTTCTGTCTCCTGTCTTTTTGTCCATGTCTCTGTCTCCAGACCATACAACATAGCTGGTCTCACCACTGTCTTGTAAACTTTTCCTTTGACCTTTGCTGACACCCTTTTGTCTCAAATCACTCCTGAAACTTTTCTCCATCACTCCATCCTGCCTGGACTCTCTTCTTCACCTCTTCACCACACTCCCCATGTTCCTGGACAGTGGACCCCAAGTCCTTGAAGTCCTGCACCTTTGTGACCTCTGCTCCTTGTAGCCTCACTGTTCCACCTCCTCCCTCTCATTCACTCACATGGACTCTGTCTTACTACGGCTGACATTCATTCCTCTTCTTTCAAGTGCATACCTCCACCTCTCCAAGTTCTCTTCCACCTGTTCCCTGTTCTCACCACAGATCACAATGTCATTTGTAATTTTTTTGTATTTAGTCCTCAGTTGGTTCTTAGTTTGGCTTTTGCTTTCTGTTCTCCAGATGTGGACTTCAATCAGTTAGAGGGTCCAAACCGTGTTATTGTTCCCTTTTTGGCATGTGGTGATCTCAGTGCCTTTGACTCGGACAGAACGTACCCACTTCAGGTGAGAAGCTTCATCAGGTCCAAGTTCCCAACCCTAACACGGCTCACTGGTGTATAATTTAACCCATTTACTTTAAAGGACAGTGCACGTTGATCATTATTTCAGTAATATACAGTGAAGAAAATAGGTATTTGAACACCCTGCGACGTTGCAAGTTCTCCCACTTAGAAATCATGGAGGGGTCTGAAATTTTCATTTCAGGTGCATGTCCACTGTGAGAGACATAATCTAAAAAAAAAAAATCAGAAATCACAATGTATGAATTTTTAATAATTTATTTGTGTGTTACTGCTGCAAATAAGTATTTGAACACCTGTGAAAATCAATGTTAATATTTGGTACAGTATCTTTGTTTGCAGTTACAGAGGTCAAAGGTTTCCTGTAGTTTTTCACCAGGTTTACTGCAGCAGGATTTTGGCCCATTCCTCCACAGATCTTCTCTAGATCAGCCAGGTTTCTGGGCTGTCACTGAGAAACACGGAGTTTGAGCTCCCTCCAAAGATTTTCTATAGGGTTTAGGTCTGGAGACTGGCTAGGCCACTCCAGAACCATGATATGCTTCTTACGGAGCCACTCCTTGGTTCTCCTGGCTGTGTGCTTCAGGTCATTGTCATGTTGGAAGACTCAGCCACGACCCATCTTCAATGTTCTAACTGAGGGAAGGAGGTTGTTCCCCAACATCTCTCAATACATGGCCCCGGTCATCCTCTCTTTAATACAGTGCAGTCGTCCTGTCCCATGTGCAGAAAAACACCCCAAAGCATGATGCTTCCACCCCCATGCTTCACAGCAGGGATGGTGTTTTTGGGATGGTACTTTTTCATTCAACCTTTATTTAGACAGGTAAATCCCATTGAGCCTCGAGGACTCATTTACAAGATAGACCTGATTTCAACAAAGAAAGATGACAACAATGGACAACAGCAACAACAATAAACAGTTATAAAAAGTCATACAATTGGTTTTTTTTGTTTTTACAAATAGGATGGCTAAAAAAAAATAACAAAAACGGCTAGATTCTAAGGCGAATGTAGAAAACTAAAAACAGGAACATGTCTGCATTGGTCCCTGCCAGGAGTCCAACAAATTCTTAAAGCCACTTAAAGACAAGGTCGAGAGCTTCAGATCTTTTTGTAAGGTATTCCAGGAAACAGGAGCGGAGTAGAAGGTCCTGTTGCCTAGTTCAGTCCTCACTGAGGGAACACTGCAGGTAATAATGTCCTGAGAGCGCACGCTGTAGCTGCACTCACACAGAGTCATGTAGGAGGAGATGTATGAAGGCAGCAGACCAGGAAGTGATTAAAGATGAAAATGTACCAGTGAGAGAGTCTGCGTGAAGTTAATGATGTCCAGTTAACCAGTGAGTACTGGGTGCAGTGGTGGGTACAGTAGTTACAGCCAGTTATGAATCTTAGTGCACCATGATAGACAGCATCCAACATCTGCAGGGTTCTTGTAGGAGCATTCATGTAAATAATGTCACCGTAATCAATGGAGGGAAGGAAAGTCACAGATACAAGGTGATTCCCAACATTCAGGGTTAGACAGGATCTGTTTCTGAAAAAGAAACCCAGTTTAACTTCCAGTTTCTTTACCAAGTTTTCCACATGGAGCTTAAAAGAGAGATGTGAGTCGACCAAGATACCCAAATATTTATAGGAATCAACAAACTCAATGGGGACACCATTTGAGGATAAAATCGGAGGAAGAACTGCTGGGACCGACTTCCTGTTTGAAAAAAGCATCCCTTTGGTTTTGTCGGCATTTAGGACAAGTTTGAGGTGGAACAAATCTGACTGGATGTTGTTAATGATGCAGATTTCAAAAGCTGGAAAGCCTTAGCAACTGTTTTAGCTTCAAAATAAACAACAGTGTCATCAGCATAGAAATGTAAGGATGTTTCTACCTACATTATGTATGTAGATTGTAAAGAGGGTGGGTCCTAAGACTGAGCCTTGTGGTACACCATTGTTGACTGTTAAATAACTGGAGGAAGTACCAAAGAAAGGAAGGAAAAAGATGGCGCTAGTGTGTGTGGCTTGCCGTCTCTCGCTGTTTGTGTTCGTGCTGTTTTTGTTTTTTATCATCAGTGCCAGTTCTCTGCTTGTGTATGATCGCCAAACATTGTTGGATCTTCTTCTCTCTGCCAAGGATTTAGTGAAATTCGACACTGATTGTGGTGTTCACACGACGTTTCAGCAGTTTTCCTTCACCAGTCGGACACCTGCTCACCTCTGCCACACCCACGCTCCTCTCCCTCGGCGTAAACGCCGGTGCCGCCGGGGCAAACGCAGCGGACGACTGTTAAACATTAAAGCTTTCTTGGCACGATTTCCTGTGGTCTCCCGGAGGAGAAATGGAGTGGTACCTGGTCTCTTTCTGAGCCCGCGGTCGCTGGACCCTGCTGACAGCTGGCTGGTGTGTGCTGTCAGTTCGGATGACGTGGTCCGCCCCCGCGGCCCCTGCTCTCCCTGTCCTCGCCGGCGTGGTGTAAATTCCCGCCATCTACGAGCCCTGCGTCGGGCTCCACAGACAGCTGCAGCTTCGGATGCACCGGCCCCTGCCAGGTTTGGCCTTGTTAATGCAAGATCACTGTCAAATAAAACTTTCATCTTGAGGGATTTCTTCATGTCCCGTGATCTTGATTTTCTCTGCGTAACGGAGACATGGCTGAGAACCGGCGAGCCCACCGCTCTTATTGAACTGTCACCACCTGATTGCTGCTATTTTAATTCCCCGCGCCTGTCGGGTCAGAAAGGAGGAGGAATAGCAGTTGTTTTTAAAAATGATTTTAAATGCCGGCAGATCAGCCTGCAGTCTTCTTTTACAAGTTTTGAACACTGCTCATTTGAAATCGGCCGCGCTCATGTTGTCTTGTGTGTCGTCATCTATCGGTCACCCAAGCACAATAAGGATTTTATAAATGACTTTTCAGAATTTCTGGCTGACATCCTGCCCAAATATGATTACCTTCTCATTCTTGGAGATTTTAATATTCGCGTCTGCTGCCCAGAAGAGCCGATCTCCAGGAGCTTTTTAAATGTTCTTGACTCTTTTAGCTTTGTACAGTCTGTGTCTGGTCCTACTCATGAACTCGGGCACACACTTGACTTGGTCCTGTCTCATGGTCTGGATGTTTCCAACTTGGACATATGTGATGCTGTTTTTTTCAGATCATATGCCCATCCTATTTGACATTCCCACTCACTGTCCAGTTAAAGTGCGTGCTCCTCCTCAGCGCTGTCGCATGTTTAACTCCTCCTCTCCAACCTTGTTCTCCTCCACTTTTCTTGGTCTCTGCGAGGATAACTCTAAAGACTCTCTTTGTTTAAATATTGATGAACTGGTTTCCAGCTTCCACTCTGTCTGTTTACAACCACTGGACACGATCGCTCCTTTGAAGAACCGGCGCACCAAACCTACCCCCGAACCCTGGCTGGGTGACGTCACGTGCGCTGCCAGGCGCGAGTGCAGAAAAGCGGAGCGCAGGTGGAAAAAGGACAGACTACATGTTTCTTTTAATATTCTCAAAGAGAGTCTGTTACATTATCAGAAAACTGTAAAAGCCGAAAAGAACAAATATCTCTCAGGCATAATTTCTTCTAACTGTAACAACCACAGAGTTTTGTTCAAAACCATAGATATTGTTCTCCATGCTCCCAAGTCTGGTGGTTTTGATGCCTCCACTGAAATCTGTGAAAGTTTCCTTCACTTCTTCACTGATAAAATTGTGTCAACCAGAGCTTGTATTTCTCAGCCTTCCTATGATCCTTCTGTTCCTCTACACCACTCATCTGTTTTGGATCAGTTTGAGCCGGTGTCCTTCTCTTTTCTACAGGACACAGTTGATCATATGAGGCCCTCTGGTTCTCCTGCAGACTCCATCCCACCTCGTTTGTTTAAGGAGGTTTTTTCCACTATTGAACCAAGAGTACTTCAGATTATCAATAGCAGTCTTTCCTCTGGTATAGTACCTGAGGCTTTTAAACATGCATTTGTTTGCCCTCTACTCAAAAAAACAGGTCTTGACCCCTCTCTCTGCTCCAATTTCAGGCCTATCTCTAATCTCCCACTTATTTCAAAACTATTAGAGAAGGTTGTTTACAACCAGTTGTTACCATTTTTAGAGGACCATGGTATCACTGAGCCGTTTCAGTCTGGGTTTAAAGCCCGCCACAGTACAAAGAGTGCACTTTTGAGGGTTTCAAATGATATATTTTTGTCCACAGACTCCGGAAAGTCTGTTGTTTTAGTGCTCTTAGATTTGTCTGCTGCATTTGACACTGTTGATCACAGCATTTTAATCTCTCGTCTTGAGCACTGTGTGGGCATCAGGGGTGTCGCCCTCAATTGGTTTCGGTCATATTTAACCAATAGGAGTTTCTGCGTAAAAATCGACAATTTTATGTCTTCCACTGCTCCTCTTCCACATGGTGTCCCCCAGGGCTCAATCCTTGGCCCTCTTTTATTTGCCCTTTACTTACTCCCCCTTTGCTCGATTTTTAGGAAGCATGGCATTTTATTTCACTTTTATGCTGATGATTGCCAGATCTATTTTCCCATGGCACAAAACAACACAGTTCAACAACTTACACACTGCCTTAATGATGTTAAGACATGGTTCTCTCTTAACTTCCTTAGTCTAAATGAGAACAAGACTGAAGTTATGATGTTTGGACCAAGTTGCCGTTCCTCTCCCAGCATAGATCTTGGCTCACTGTCATTTTATCTCAAGGACTGTGTCACCAATCTGGGGGTGAAGTTTGAGTCTGATTTTAAATTTGAAAAACAGATCAGCAGTGTTGTTCAGAAAAGTTTTTATCAGCTCCGCCAAATAGCAAAAGTGAAACCAATCCTAGCAAGACCTGACTTGGAGAAATGAATCCCTGCTTTTATCACAGCTCGTCTTGACTACTGTAATGCACTGTATGCAGGCATTAGCCAGACGTCTCTTGCTCGTCTGCAGCTTGTGCAGAACTCTGCTGCTCGCCTGTTAACTCAGGCTCGTAGGCGCGAGCATATTACTCCCATCCTGGCGTCCCTTCATTGGCTCCCTGTGCACTACAGAATTAATTTGAAGCTTTTGCTGTTTGTTTTTAAATGTCTGAACAACCTTGCCCCACCATATCTGTCTGAGCTGCTTCAGCCTTACTGTCCACCCCGATCCCTACGATCAGCTGATCAGCTGCTGCTGACAGTCCCTAAAACTAGGCTGAAGCTCAGAGGTGACAGAGCGTTTGCTGTTGTTGCTCCCAGGTTGTGGAACACTTTACCCTTGAGTGTCAGACAGGCCTCCTCTCTTCCTGTTTTTAAATCTCTTTTAAAGACACACTTTTATTCTTTGGCTTTTAACACGTGATCTTATCTTTTATGGCTTTTTAATACACCTGCTGTGAAACTGGTATGTGAATGGTTTTTATGTTTCTTTGTGTATGCTTTGTATGTTTTTATTGTTTTGTTTGTTTTTATTGTTTTATTGTGCAGCACTTTGGCTACCCTTGTGGTTTTTAAAATGTGCTATATAAATAAAGTTGATTGATTGATTGATTGATTGAGATAGTTAGAGAACCAACCAATGGTGTGTTCTGAGAAACCGATTTCTGAGAGTTTATGACACAAGATGTTATGATCCACAGTGTCAGAATCTTTAGACAGGTCTAAGAAAAGTGCAACACAATAATCCTTAGCATCCAGTGCTTCAACAACGTCATTAAGAACCTTCAGTGAAGCAGTGGATGTGCTGTGTTGTTTCCTGAAACCAGATTGATGTGGAGGTAAGATGTTAAATGAGTCCAGGTCATTTTTGATTTGAGAGTTTATCAGTTTTTCTAGAACCTTGGCTAAAATGCAGAGTTTAGAGATTGGTCCATAGTTGTTCAGTGAGGTGGGGTCTCCTCCCTTCAGCAAAGGAAGAACAAAGGCTGTTTTCAAGTGTCTGGATGGAGTTTTGTCTTATGGAGAGATTGAAGATGTGGGTCACAGGGACTGTGATGATATGAGCAGCCAGCCTTAAGAAATAAGGTGGAAGTTCATCTGGACCTGCAGATTTTTTAGGATCAAGATCTTTTAACAGTTTATTGACCTCACTGACTGAGAATGGAGAAAAAGAGAAGCTGTGATTAACTGAGGATTGACTTGTAGGAGGGATTTGATTTGTAGAAGTTTGGTTATTAAGGGAAGTGGCTGATCTTCCATTAGTAACTGTGTCAAATAAAGAACTAGAAGCAACAAAATGTTTGTTGAAACAGTTCAGGATCTCGTGCTGATTTGACACAGGAACAGAGTTAACGAGAAGTTGTGATGGGAGGTCAGATGATTGGGGGCTACCTGAGAGAGATTTGATGGTTTTCCAGAAGCTGGTTGGTTGAGTTTTCGACAGATGAGGAATAAATGCACAACTGCTGTCAAAGCAGCAAAACGCAACTATTTCTTATCTCAGACCTCCAAAAATCTAAATGACCCTTACGCATTTATTCCTCATCTGTCGAAAACTCAACCAATCAGTGTCTGAGTCAGATTTTCTCGCTGTGGCCCAAAGATGGTCTCTCCTGTGCATGAGGTCAGCTAGCTCTGGAGTAAACCAGGGGCTGTCTCGTCCCTTTATTCTGAACTGACGAAAAGGAGCATGTTTGTTCACAAAATAAATGAAACTATTATGAAAATAGTTCCAAGCAGAGTTCACGTCATCAATTAATAGAAAACGATGCCAGTCAAAGTGAGACTGATCCCAGAGGAATGACTGTTCACAGAAATGATTCAGATCCCTTTTTGTATTAATCTGGGCTTAGAAGGTGGAAGTTTAATATCTCAGAGTCGCTGTCACACAATGATCACTCAAAATATCAGCGGATACACCTGTACCAGGGAGTTTGTGAGGCACATTAGTTAGAAGCAGGTCTAAGATGGAGGATTTTTCAGGATGGATTTTGTTTAGTTTAGTCGGAGAGTTGATCAGTTGGGTTAGATTGAGAGACAGGCAACATTCCTTGAATTTATCACAAAGGGGGGTCGACTTACCCCAGTCAATGTTGAGATCTCCTGCAATATAATTTTCTTGTAATTTTCAAATTATGTTTTTTATGATTGTCTACTGTCGTAGTGATAAATATCTCCT